ACTCGAATGTAAGTACGTTGACCACCAACACTTTGTAGAAGCCTGAGAATTTTAATTAATTTATTGGTTTTTCATTATGTATGTGACTCTTTTAGTGCTTTGACTTTTTGGCGTTGGTATTATATCTTTTGGATATGAAGAATGTCAATCTTTTTCTAGTGGTATAAGAATTTCTGGTTCTTCGTACAAAAAATCTGTTGACGATGGTGGAAAACCGATTTTATGAACTACGTTGTGTTTGGTAAATGAGTTGGTGAAGACTATTGAGTATCAACAGACGCTTGATTCACTTGTCTAACACAATCTGATTTATTCAGATGTACTAAACGAATACAGTCAAGTTTTATATGAATATTTTTTTTGTTTTGAAAGTCATCTGTATTAATTTAATGATTGTTCCCTGTGCTAGAAAGAATCAAATCTCTGTTGCATTCTATAAAATATAATAAATAGCCTTGACAAAAAAAAACCAATGAAATAAAGTAATTATATATGTGGTGTGTGTTGTTCTCCTTCTTGAATGATACCATATGTTTATTACTGATCAATTGCAGTTACTTTTTCAGATACACGATTAAAATCATTCGGGTTCAATTCTAAAAAGATAAACATGAACAAATCAATTTGCTTTATTTGTAGTAATTTATTCGGTCCTTGATTTGATAATGAAATAGTATTTGTTGTAGGCAGTGATATGTTTTTTTTTGTAAGAATTTTTTGTCTCATTCGATCACCGCAGGTATGACGTTCATTTGTATCGTTGGGTGTAAAATAAAAATTTCTAAAATATCACACGAACATCATTGATGTTAACATAAATATTTGGATTTATGTAAGTTAACATCATCTTCTGATGAAGGAATTTCATTGAAGATTCGAGGAAATCAATTTTTATCTATTCAACAATTTATACTATTAATTTATTTTACAAACAATAAAATATATCCGTTTAATTGAGTTCATCAAGATATTTGTCAACATAGTGATTAATAATTTTATCATTCAAATAAAAACTGGCCAGTATATCTTCATTCCGATCGTAATCAAAAAGACTTCTTCTGATATTGCATCATATTGAGATCTGTCAAATTTTAGTAATTTTTAAATATATTTTAATCGATACCTATTTTGTGAACAACACAAATAATGAACCGAAGATTCGATCATCACCATTTAGTATAATAAACGCTTGTGCCTGTAGTTCATTTTAATTCAAAACAGATTATCTATTAATGATTTTAAATTGTTCATTGACGAAGACAATACAGCTCAAATAAATATTTCAAAATTTAAACATCATATAATACAGCAATAATTAGCAACATAAATGAACTAGTTCAAAAGCAATTAATAAATTCTTCAAAAGAAAATATTTATTTTCATAAGAACTAATTTTACGGGAAAAACTGTTTCTAATCAGTGACTTAGTAAAAAACATAATGTCAGATCAAGAAGAAAACAAAACGACATGATGTAACAAAAAATTATTAACAACTCAGTTGATTTTTAGCAAACAATAAATTTTAGAGGAATGCAAAAGAATGAGAAAAATTTCAACTACATTACTTTTTACTATATTTTTACGATGATATTGCTGTTAAAATAATAAAAGAAGCTTCATAGCTAACAACGATTTGTCGGAATGGTTCATGAAGTTAAATTTTTGTTTTAAAAAAATTGTGTTGATCACAGACGTGTGAAGATTGACCTAAGGAAAAATTCACGATAACTTTCGAAGAGAGAGTCTGATCGCGATGAAATTTTCTACACAGTTTCATCTCATCAAGATCTCGGTCGAGTTCGAAGATGAGAATGATTTGTCGAGCCATTGCTGAGTTATCGAAAAAAGAGTCATTATTCCCTATGTTTTTCTATACGAACATTGACCTATCCCGCTTTTCGTAAAAAACTTTTTCTCTCATAATCAAAGAAAACCACAACTATTATATGCCATCCGATAGAGATTTTCACGAGCTACAAAATGGTATATAAAACATTAAGAAACAAAAAGTCTAAGTCATCTATTGCAAAGATACTTAAACGGAAATTTGTTCTGTTTTTGTCCACGTTCCGATCGATCGAAAAGTAAAGCTCGATCTTCTGATTACAGAGATGATAGTTCGAGGTTTTCTAGGGCGGAGAACTCGAATCAGAGCTCCAGTTGCCTTGAAATCTTATTGGTTGATCAGTAACCAATAGAAATCAAGTTTTAGGGAAAACGACTTTCTGAGGGTAATTCAGGACGACGAGTTTAAATCTGAGCTATATTTACTCCAAAACCTTATTGGTTGAGCAGTAATCGATACAAATCAAGTTTTAATAGAAGGGGCTCACTAGAATAATTTTGATGCCTACATGTGTTAGGATGACTCATCTGTCCAGTTCACTTTTTGAAGTACACATAACACTCGGATTTAAATCCGATGCTTCCACATTTATATTAGTGTGTGATTGCTTGTAAAGTATCAATGCAACTGAACAAAGCTTGCTCGTTGTGTTTAAGAATTATTTCTCCGTTTCTGTCATCTTCTTTTCATGTTCAAGCAAAAGTTCTGATCAAATTTGAAATCACCATCATAACTATGTTATAGTTTTTAATCCCTTTCAATATGTCGTTTAAGGGCCCTCCCTCAGAAATCAACTTTGTTATTTTTCGTCCGATTTCAGCCAAATTTTTGGGAGAATATTAGTGTAGGATAGGATAGATTATGAGTGGAATCTCTCCCACAAAACTCCATTAAACCAATGAGTAGATCTATGGTTTTTATTTCAGCAAAAGAGAAATTCAAAAATCGGGCTCTGTGATGACCTAGCTCTACCTGTCTACTACACAATAAAAAAAATGATCACTTCGATATAGAATCGTTATAAAGAAAAGCCTGCCCGCGTAAACGGCATGCTCGAAAAAACTTATTTTGAGAAAAGGGCTAAATAAGTTTTAAGTATTGATTTTTGCGAAACACACCTGAATTATATATCAGTGTTCAGGACAGACTATAAATATGTGATCTTAACCCTTTACCCCCGACAGTAGTTTTAGAAGCGCTAGCAATGAAATTACCACTGAAGTAAAGTATTGGTGTCTCCAATATGCCAAAAGTATGAACAAATCAAAGAAATGCTTTCTTCAATTTTAGGGCATTTTCCTGAGGGGGAGTAGGGGGAAAATTTTGACCAATTCACAGGAGCATTCAGCAAAACTGATGTATCTCAGTGAAGAAACATCGTAGAGAGCTCGGAAACGTTTCATTTCATAGAAAAATGTTTGCTCTATAATTCTCTATTGATTGAGACAATTGTTGCATTGATTCGTGGATATTTAAGAGCCAGGACGTTGCTATTGTAGAAACCTTCTAGTGGCTATTGCATATTTTACCATATGTCGACCTCCTAAACTTTTCTGAGAATTCTGGAAACTAAACATATCGCTAGTGAACACCTTTTTCTACATGTATCATGCAGTAGGTCACCGAACGATTTATTGCTTAGAAATAGAAAATTACTTTTACAAGACAATAGTCGTTTTTCGAAATCGTCGATCATAGGAGTCACATATCTCCGAACGAGCGCAGCGAAAACAAAAGTTTTTTTACCGATTGGTAGCTCGTGAAGTTTACTACAAAAAGTGTTCTTAGAGTTTCTCAATCAGATGCTTTCTTAATTTTTCGCAACTGTTCTTCCAATATCCACTGGAGTGGACATTCGGGGGGTAAAGGGTTAATATTAAGTGTTAATAGTCTCGTAGTAATTATAAAAAACAACTTTACGAAATGCTGATGTAAAGAGAAAGCAGCCTAAAAAATCGAAAAAACTTGTAAAAAACCGTGAAAATTTCTCAAAAAATATGAAAGTAGGTAGCCACGTTTTAGATGATAAGTTCGTCAGAATCAATTCATTTTACGATAAGCCATAAATATTCTGAAAGAAGAGACTTTGGTGCATCTTCCTATGATAAAACCTGAAGCTCGACTTGTCTTCGAAAAATTGGATTTTCTGAGGGGGACCTTTAAGGACTTATTTGGTTCGATTGTGAAGACACGAGTGTAGTAAAACAAACTTACTTGTAATAAAATCTGAACTGGACGGGACAAATCAACTAATACTCCATGAAAGTCAACTTCATATTGAGATCATATGAAAAATTCTACTCCAGCCATGGCACGAGTTAATATCACTAAAACTAGGACTCATTTCAGAATTAATTCACTTCATAAATTACCAGCATTCCAACAATGGATAATATCCAAATAAATTTTGTTCAATGTATTTATTTAACTAAATCTTCTTGTTACTCATTCATTATTTACAAATATTATTGCCTGATGACTTGAAAATGAATATAAAATGAATTCGTTCATTTATTTTGTTAAGTTTAGAGAAACCATCCTTTTGCTAATCTCGAAGACAAACATGATTTATTGCTTCATCCGTTTCCTAAACTTTAAACATTTCTTGGTTACATTTCTGAAAATACTTCAAAATTTAAAATAATATTCAAAAATCACTTGTACGATTTTTATATACTCCCATACATAAAAAACTAGTCGATTTTAGCTGTACCATAATAATGATAGTCACCTATTGTCGTTTAATATTAAAGTTTTTTCATATTTATTCAAGATTTCAACATATTTAAGTGGTGAATTATAGGAAAATGATGACGAATATGTTGATTAACACATATGACTGGTATTTTATGAACTTGAAGACAAGAGAATATTTTTTGGCAATGTCAATTTTACTGCAAACATTTTTGAAGGACAAATATAATTGAATTTCATGTAAAATCCACTATGTTGTGAATAGATCCACTAGTGTTCATCTATCTTGAAATCAGAAGATTCACTAATGATTTGTGATTCTTCATATTTGAATATCATCTTTTCTTTACACTTTGAGAGAAAGAAAACAAACAGTTATATAATTTTCTTGTTTAAAAAAAATTTTGCTTTAGTAATACACGCAAATATAGTAGTTCGAAAAAAAATCCTATAAATCAATTAATGTGTCATCTGTTCGTCACTGCTAAGATTGTCGTTCGTGTCAATTTCATGTTTAACTGACGTAGATGCGTTGGCTGTAACTAGTAGTTTTTCTTTTGTTTGTTTTTCCAGTTCTTGTTTGATCGATTCCCTTCGGATTAGAATTGGCAAACCGGGATTGAGATTTAATGCGTATGATAAAAGTGTCTTCGGTATATCACCAAAGTCGATTATGGCTTTGATAAACATAGTATCATTGACAACATATGGATTGTTATCTTGTCGAATTATTGTGAGTGGTACAAATTTGGGTATACCAGAAGGAATGTTCATATCTGAACGAGGCCTTTCAAAACTACTTGATTTTACATCAGGTCGAAATGAATCGAAAATATGTCGTTGATCAGATGTTTGATCCACAAGAGCAAATATTATTTTGAAACTGAACGGAAAATGAAGGATAGCATCGTACTCTCCACGCATGAGTACAAAGAAAAGAGACATATGGCTGTGCCTAGCATTGCCATCACCAACCAAATATAGACGAAGTCGCATTTTATAGCCGTTCGGTGATGAATAGAACACTGGAGAGTAAACAGATGTCTGTTTTGCACACTCAGCGTCAACTACATAGGTAAAAGAAAGATAGAAAACCAATAAGGTAAAATTGTATGTTATAGTTTATTGGAATTTGAAGCTGAGACTAGAAGCGTCAGATTAGCATTAGTCATAGCTTCTTCAAGACTAGAAGTGCATGTATGTGCTTCGATTCTGATTCAGCTAATAACTGACTACAACAAGTCTCTTATAATAGTGAGGCTAGAACGTTTTCATTAGGGAAATACTCCTTGGAAGAAAATTTCCATTTCAAACCGAGGTTATTTTTCAGCGAAACGAAGAAATTTTATTCTTGAAATCTTTTTCTCTCTCATTACCTAGTTGATAAATCACTAGCCTTGTATAAAACTCTCCCAACAACGACAATCCTATAGATCATAGATCTACAATTTCAAATGTATATGCAGAAATATCAATTCGTATTATTTTCTCATGTATCTTCTATCTTGCAATAGTTAGATTAGTCATTTCTTTATTGTTTTCTTAGATCTTTGATAAATAATGACATCAACTATCAATATCGCGTGTAGTATTATTATGATTTTCATGATTTCTCTCTCTTCTAATATATTCTGGTTCTCTCGATTATTCGTATACATTTGTACATTGTCTAATAGTTTCAAAAATTTATATTTCCTCATGATGTAAGCTCATTCTCAAGGGATTTAAATAATGCTAATGTTTTAGGCAATAGCATAAAAATAAAACTTAATGTTTTGATATTATTTTCATTATAATCATCGAATCTCAAGATGTTACAATTAAATTAATATTACCTTTTCGTTTTAATACATATGTTACATGTGGCTATATCAATTATATATCATCTTCGAAAAATTTCTACAACAGTAGACAAGTTCTCGGATTGAAAGTGTTATTTCCTAAAAAAAACAAAACTGTTCGATTTTCGAAAGTTGTAAACTTATAGTATTAGATACCTAATCAGTGGTCATATAGTATTAAAGCAATTAAGTTAATTGCAATACGAATTCTTATTATCTTTACGAACATATGTATCTGAGACTAATTTTTTTGTTTTTTTTTAAAGAAAAACATTATTAGGAAAAACTCTATTAAACAAACCTATTTTTTGTTGAACATCTGTAACTTTCCACATAATAGTACCGTCATTGGAACAATTCTTTTGATCATAAAGGTGTTGCTGAAGTGAAGTAAGACTTTCTTCCATTACTTGTTGATTAGTTATATGAGCATTTATTGATGTATGAGTTTCTTCGATAGCGGTTTTTAACTTTGACATGTCTCCAGACAAGGACTGTAGTGAATTTTGGTACTGAAATGATTCCGAAGTGAGACGTTGAGTGTCATCATTTAACGCATTAAGACCACCCATTAGAATATCTATCGTTTCAAAAACTTGTTGAAGGTTAACATGAGAAGTCTCATCGACTTCTCTATCCGTAGTTATTGTTGTAGAAGAACGTACTGTTGATTCATCATCTTGATTACATATTAGATGTTGTTTCTTGTGAATAAGAAACTGAAGTAAAACTTGTTGATGTTGTTGACTGAGAAAATGCTCTCTTGTATTTATACGAAGGAACTAAAAGTATTGTGTTTTTGATGATTAATAATGTTAAAATAGATATTTCTGAAATACCACCTGTTCATTGCAGCCATATGGTTTGAGGATACAATTGAGAGCGACTTTCTCACATATAGATAAATGTTGAGTAAGAGTATCGACTGTATTGAACTTTTCACCACAAAATTCACAGAAAGGATTCACATGAACTTTATCTAAATGTTCCTAAGAAAAAAAGAGAACATCGAAAAATAGAGTATTGAAAAATAAAATAATGTTACTTGATAGTTCTTAAACATTCCACTCCAATCACATAGTAAGCAAATAATATTTAATTTTTCCATGTCAAGTTGACAACCTCTATCATAGATTATCTTAAAATCAAAGATAATACATTGAACATAATTGTAAAGACAGGCGACAAAAAAAAGCAGTTTATCTTACTTTATCTCGTGGTGTCACTTCCTTACATTCGCTGCATTCGACTACAGAATTTCTGATAAGAAAATTTTAAATTAAATCGATATATAAAAATAATAATAATAATAATAAACAAAAAAATAGATAATCATGGTTACTTTTCTATAAAATCAATACATGATTGACAAAGTCGATGCCCACAAATCAATTGAAATGGATGTCGCAATAAAAAGGTACAGACAAAACAAATGTATGACGGTAGAGAAGCTTTGTTTTTGGCATCAAAGCCAACCAATCTTCCAGTGCACTGCAACAAGAAAAAAAGTCATTTCAATAAGGCTAAGGTATAATTGTAAAACATAACTTACTTGTGAGCGTGATAGAGAATCTAACTTTGAGTTTTGATCATATTTTGCGTTCATTATAGTGCTAAAATACCAACAAATAAATTCATTTTATTGTATAGTTCATTACAACATCAGTTTCTTAATAATTTTATACTTGTATATTGGGATATCTATGGAATTGATAGCCGAGGCGGCGGAACGATTCAAATCTAGGGGAGGCTCAAAACTTTTCAGGCAGCGATGGGAGAGTGATATAAAGGGAGGAAGGATTTTTTAGCTTTCTAATTCTAACTCTTACTGGAATTTTCTGAAAAGATGTGGCATTGAATTTGACAATCTTTCGAGCATTATTTGTTTGGTCTTTACAGGAACCAGTTAAATCACAGAATTTCTCAGGTTAATAACATAAAATGCAATTTAACTATACTAAAAAAAAAATCTCTGGCCTGGAAGAGTGAATCTTCACCTTTGTAAGCTGTCTGTCTTTGACTTAATTTCTTCAATTTAATGTTAAAATGAAAACATCAGTCTCGAGACTTACAGAAATATTCTGAAAACGAATCCTAGAAGCTGTTGTTGAATTCTCTGTATCAACTGCATTACAAGGTCATGTGGACCTGTTCTGATGAGTTTTTAGGAAATTGGATAGGATATATAAAATATTGCTACTTCCCTTTATACTGAAAGTAGTAAAAATATTTGTATCGGGTGTCCCAGGAATAATGAGCCTCCCAGTATTTTTAAGATTTCCTGTCTATTATCACTGTAAGTAAAGCTCTCATTATTATCAAAAGATAGCGCTTAAAATTCTCTACAAAACCA